GTCTTTTCTTACATTTCCGAGGATGATTGAAGGAGAGAGAGATCCTAGCGTCTCAAAACCAGCGACTTGTACGTAACAGAGTTTGCTTAGATGGCAGCAGAATTTTTTTTAAAAAAATTAGGCATGATTCTAGACATTTTGAAGCTAAAATGACTCTAAACATACCAAACCTTCCTAGGCAATGCATTTGTAGTGTTTAGATTCTAAACTTCAGAAGTTCTCAGTTGTTGCTCAGACAGTTTGTGGTATGAGGATAAGACCTCATCTATCCTTGGTTTTCGTAACTGGCCTACTAGCAAAAGGTAGCAAATTGTCTTCTTGCATGATGTAAGGAATTCCGTGTGTGTGTGTGTGTGTGTGTGTGTGTGAGAAAGAGAGAGAGAGAGAGAGAGAGAGAGACAGAGAGACAGAGAGAGACAGAGAGAGAGAGATGCTCAGGGAGTCTTGCAATGACTAATAAGCAGTGATGACAATTCATCCCATAGTTGATTGCTCTGTGGCTTGCTCTGTAGCTCTCCTATTTTTCATACCTCTTTTCACTCTTGAGAGATTGAACAAGAGCCTCATTACCATACCAGCACCTCCCACTTGGCTTGATTGACAGCTTCAGCCTTCACACTATATTTCTGCCTGATGCCCAGGTTTGAAACTATGTCCAGATTCAAGACAATATACAAACCAAATATTCTCCACTTAGGCCCATATCTGTTACAATATTCCCTCAGCCTAGTTGAAAGGGCCTACAAGGTTTTGTAAATAATAATTATTATGATAAATTGTCTAATTTTCTTGAAGTTAGCTCCCCTTTCTCTTTCCACCTTTGAGAATCCACTTTTTTGTGGCTTGAACAATACATCTTTAGATTTGATGAAATATAAGATTTGGGGGGGGGGAGGAAGGGAGGGGAGGCAGGAAACAGAGCAAATATCCTCTCTCATGTACATGTAATACACTCATTGTGGTGAAGTTTGCATTAGAATTTATACAGATTTTCGAATTAGAATTTTCCGGGATGCATACATTTTTGTGTGTTGTTTGTGTGATTCTAGAAGCATGGTGAAATTAAGCTTTTAAATTCTACTGAATTATTTTTAAGCTCTGCTGCTCAACCACAAAGATGATTACTTATTAAATCCATTCCTAGGCAGGAGGGAAAAATGAAATAAAAGTTGGCAGACTCCTTCTGATAAACATATTACAACTGCGGAGGACTTGCTGGGAAGATAGGATTTCCAAAGATTTCCTGCAGCAAAGCAGTCAGCGTGAAGATATATTATCTTTGGGAATACACCGAATGGACAGAAAGTGTTTGTGTGTCTCTAATGGAATTTGAATCTTTCCAGCCCCCCCCCCCCACTTCCTGGAAAAAAAGGTTAAAGACATGACTGTCATTATCAAACACAATTTGTGTAACAATGTTATTTGATGTTCAAGCGTTTTTGATATTTGTGTCATCTTGGTGCAGAATTTTTCTTCTGGGATTGCAGAGTTTCAACTCGAATGTGATCAATCATGGTAACTGAATGGATAGATTTCTCTCCACCCCCATTCCTACGGGTTTATCTGCAGAATGTATTTGTGTGGGAGTTGAATCACATAAGGAAGAATGTGTTTGATGGCGGCTGTGTCTCTTTATTTCATGGGGTGCAGGGAGCTACGGTTGCTGGTGATTGAAATGGTTCTGGCGACAGACATGTCCTGTCACTTCCAGCAAGTCAAGTCCATGAAAACTTCCCTGCAGCAGCTGGAACGGTAAATGGCAGAAGGAGGGCTGTGTGCGCACGTGCATGTATGGTATTTTTTAAAAAAATGATAGAATGCCCTCTGGATATGTAATAGAAAAAATGGATTTGAAAGCATAAGAAACATTGAAAGTTGGCAGATACATATTAAATCTTCCGACATTAAAAAGCTCTTTAGATAACCTCAGGGAGCTTTCTAGTGATGACACTGATAATTACTGTAAGTCAATTCAGGCTGAGGGGAGGACAATGCTACCTTTACAGAGATAGATGATCGATAGATTGATAGATTGAGAGAGAGAGAGAGAGAGAGAGAGAGAGAGAGAGAGAG